GTCTTTTACTGCTCTTTCTGGCTCCTATAAGGAAGCTAATCACTAGATTTTGTCAAAAGGAGAGCTCATTTGTTTCCATCGTTCTTGAGTTTTGTATAGTTCGGGAGTTCCTAGAAGGGAAAAATCACTAAATTCCGTATGCTTATTTTAGAAAAATCATGAAAAATTCCAAAAAAAAAATAAACAATGACGATAAAAGTGCAAATCAAGCGGAGAACGTGAAAACATAGAAGGGTCAGATTCCAAACAAGAGCTCATGTGTAAGGTGCTTTATTATTATTATTATTATTATAATTATTATCTATCATTCCATGTTGGTCTTTATGTAAGACACACATGAAGTTAGAGAGTTTTTATATATAGTCATAGAAAATATAGAAAATCAGAAGAGGAGGAAGCCTAACCATAGACGAAATCTGAAAAACTGCAGAAGTACAGAAAGCATTATATGAACTTAAAGAGTTGGATTTGTTTATTTCTGCACAAATTAGAATTGATATCAAAGAAATTTCAAAATATTTAACCTTATGGTACAGCCGCTGCTCTTCATACGGTTTAGGTCTTATATCTCCGTAATCGTACTTAAGCGGTTCATATTTTTGTGTAGAAGAAATATCTTGGTAATTTATAGTGGGTATCTAGAAAGGATAGATTAATGTTTCGATAAAGGAATTCAAAGATAAGTAGATACTCACCTCAGGATCATAGCTTCCATGATCAATAGGCCTTATATCGTGATACCCAGGAAACTGACACCAAGAATTAGTTATATCAATATTGCCAAGCGCTAAACCAGTAGGTAGTCCTACAGCAGAGCTGAGGGTATTCGTTGACGTAATTGGGCCCATCTGGAGAGCACCGGAGCCGATGCCGCTCATCGTTAGCGCTCCAGATGACATGCCATACGGATGAATGGCTACGGGACATGCCGGACCGTCTGCTTCGCCAGAGTTCATCACCGTGGTGTGCCGAGACGAGAAAGTCGCGCACCGCCCCTAACAGTCTTAACGTATCGTCACCGTCGCCGTCAACGTCGTCGCTGGCGGCGGCGCTGTTGCCGACGTCGCTGCTTTTGTGGCGAAATCGTTGATATTTCGTTTCATGATCGTGACATCGTCGTGACGACATCATACTGCAATAGCACGTCATTGAGTTGCGACAGTTAAAGGTTTCTTCAACCAAAGAAAATGAAACGTAAACTTTGAAAACTGAAAGTTTCGAATTTCTCTTCATAGTATCTGATCATATGAGTGATGTACTTTGCCGATTCAGCATATTGAATTTAAAACAAGGAAATGAGGAATCAATAATGAACATTCTTCAATGAGTATGCGGGATGACTCAGTAATTTAGGAAATAAGCATAAAAAATGAAAATTGTGGCAGACTTATCCTGATGGTATGACTTCAGTTTAGCAAAAGGAAAATAGAAAAGTACAAGATCAGATACAAAATTCATGCCGAATTTCAGACGACTGGCCAAACAGCTTCGATAAGCGCTCACCTCCATGTTTTTCAGGATTCCCATTTACTGCTGGGTAGGTAACCATACTATTACAGTTAAAACTATGAAACTGCTACTTTACAGTAATGCATCTCACTTTCGATTCTAAGCGCATAATCAAACTATGCTACTCTACTAAGCGTTCATTTTGGAACATGTAAGTATTAATAATTGTTAGAATGCACACCAATTCCTT